CGAATGTTGTCCACCTCGGGTAGATCCCGTCAGCTAGATAATACCCAGTTTGGTAGACGGTATTATTGACTTCATATGTGATTTTTGGGGCTTCTCCTCTCAAAACATCATTGAACACCGGGGATTGACCCAAGACGTTCAAGTCATTTTGAGATCCAGCAACTCCGAAAAAGGCATGCCAAACCCATGTATCGAAACCTGCAACGGCTTCAAGGATGATGCTTTTTTGGCCTTTTCGATTTCCATACTCACCCTGCCAAGCAGTTGGACAATTCTTCTATTGTCAGTGCATGCAGTCGATGCTACCAATCATTCCTGGAAATCCTCTCCATTCAGCTTTTTGTAGAAGTCGTTGCAGGCCCCTGGGCGTGGGTCGGCCCAGGTAGTTCCTAGTATACAGAGTTTCGACTGCATCACAAAATCTAACCAAACTCTCCAAGGCAGTGGACTTCCCCATTCGGGCAATCTCATCCACCTGGTCAGCAGATGCACCATACGCCAACATTCGTATGACAGCTGTGAACTTTTGTTCGGGAAGCAATCCCAAAACACCAGCACAATTTCTCTTTTGAACAAAGTATTCATCATAATTGCAAATATCATGCATGATTTTATTGAACAAATGTTGTTGCATTCTATACCTCCCTCGAAAATGAACATCAAAGTATTGTGAATGGAAGATGAAATATGAAATCTAAAATATGAGAACTGAAATTTTTGAGAAGATGTAGTGTGAGAGGTTTGTGAGTTGAGCCTTTGTTTTATAGAAAAATTTAGGTCGATAGACATGACACGTGGCGCAAGTTGATAGGGTGAAAATCTTATCCGAAATTTGAAATTCAAATGAAATGTATATGAAATGTGAAATTCAAATGAAAAGTTGAAATTCCAATGAAATTTAGCTAAAATTTGAAATTCAGATGACACGTGGCGCAATTTTATAGGGTGAAAATCTTATCCGAAATTTGAAACTCGGATGAAATTTATCTGAAATTGAAATTCAGATGAAATTTATCTGAAATTGAAATTCAAATGAAAAGTTGAAATTCAAATGAAATTTATCTGAAATTTGAAATTCAGATGAAATTTATATCGGGTTTGAAAAAAAAAATTTATCTGAAATTTGAAACCGGAAATCTTATATGAAAATCTTATCCGAATATTTTATCAAAAAATCTCATCCGAAAATATTGTCCAAATTAATTGTTTAGGTAAACAAATTTGTGAAAAAAAAAAAAAAAAATTGAATAGTACCCCTTTGTGATGGCAACTGCTGGAAGTGCAACTTATTTTTTACAAGGGCTGACACTATTCCCGTGAATAGTATCAGCCCTAGCCCCCCCCTTGCCATGGCAAGATTCCAACTGCTGGAAGTGCTCTTATAGAGAAAAGAGTATGATGATTGTATTAGCTGCCTTACTTGTAGTCTCTCAAGGTGGAAGTTAAGCAAAAATTCAATTGTAGAGAAAGTTGGTGTACTAGCAAAAGTGTTGTAGTACTTTCCACCAAGTATGACCTCTCTAAGTTCCAAGTACAGTTGTTGGCTAGTTATACTTGTGAATTACAACCTTTCTAAATCCTTGTGCTAAATCCTTGTGCAAGAAAAGGAAATTCATGATGCTAACCATATTGATTTCTGGTCCTAAACAACTAGGATATTGATGTGTACTTGGCTCCTTTGGTAGAAGATTTGAAAACTCTTTGGGATGGAGTTCGAGGGGTGTATGATGCGTATCAAGGAAAGTACTTTACACTAAAGCTGTGCTAATGTGGATTGTCAATGATTTTCCAACTTATGGGAACTTATCGGGATGCATTGTACATGGTTATAATGCAAGCCCAATATGCGGTGATACACTGTCATCTAAAAAATGTCGTCTCATACATCGCTATATGATGGTGCCGTTGTCTGTTAACATTGCATTTGTCATCTAAAGTCGCACTAGACGACGGTAGAACACCGTTATCTACGTAGGAAGATGTCATCTAATGGTCCTTAAGACGACAAAAAATAAAGTATTTTGTCGTCTAATGTGATACTTTAACTCTCACAGACAACGGTGTTGATAAAAAAACTGTCGTCTAAATGGCACACAGACAACAATGTTGACCAAAAACTGTCGTCTTAATGTTACAAAGATGACTGTGGATCACGCCATCATCTAAAGTGACAATAGACGGTGGTCACCTATATAACGGTATGGTAGTACATTAGACGATGGTGATCCACTATCATATAGAACGTTTTTTCTTCTAGTGTTCAAATACAATGCTTTTATTTATTTATTTCAATGTTGGAATTTTAGTTACTAGTTGTAATGGCTAAGATTCAATGTTGGAATTTTAGTTACTAGTTCTCCATGCTTATAATATGCACATATACATGAAGCTTCTAAAGATGATCTCCCTTTCTTTTAGATATATACAAAGAAATATATCATTTTATATGTCCTCGATCGTAAAAACAATACTCTATATGGTGTATTTTTCCGGATTGGCTTAATTAAAAGGGGGTTTCACTAAAACATCCAAAATGGGGCATGAAATTATAAAAAAAACCCAACACCCAAAACCCATCATTACACACACTCAAAACCCATTTATAAACACCCAAAAAATATACAATTGTTGATTTTGGGTGTGTTTCTATGTTTAAATAGTGCTTGAGTTTTTTTATAAATACATGTCTAGGATTGGGTTTATTTATAAATTTGTATAATTAAAAATGTCTTCATATATGGAAACACCCATGCTTGTTCATGTAGTTATCTATAAGGACTCAAGCAGATAAAAAAAAATCATCATGCTGGGGTGGGGTTCTAGCACTTCACTTTCCCATTAAAAGCATAGTATGTCAATGTTAATGGGTTGGGCCCTTAGCTTTTGCTTAGTATATTTTCATAAAACAAAAATATAGGAGAATCCATGTTAGTTCTTTACTTCAGCACGCAATGAATAATTTATTTCGGAAGCTCATGACTTGGATTAATTACAATATGAAGACAATACTAATCCAACTAGTTAATTCATAGCCCTATTATTGGTTGGCTTAAATCATGAGAGTTAGCAGAAAATTGCAAGTCAAAGTGTGCGTAAGCCAACTTGCCAACTTGTAAAATAAATAACTAAAGATGGTGTACACAACTTTTATTATTCATTTCTGATGTTAAGTTGGACAATCTAAATTGCAATTTGGGTTCTTCTTTTTCAAGTTTTGGTCTTCTTGTTCTAAATAGGCCGATCCCTTATTCATGGGTCAAATGGGGGGGTTTTGAGGCGCGCAAAGTTTTCTATATGGTTCTGGCCCTTCTTGGTGTGAGTAAAGAAGAAAAGAAATGCATATCATAAATCAAAGGTTCCCCATAAACTATATAATCAACACAATTTCAATGATAATCACGTAAATATAGTACAAATGTTTGCCTTTTACTAATGGTAAAAAGGCAAAGATTTACAACTTAAGGGTTTAACAACAGCCAGAAATAACTCATACGTTCCCAGAAGCACCTAATTGAACAGTGCTTCGTTTAACATCGGCAAATTCCATCATAGTGCACAGCATACCGTGGACAATGAATATAGCTTGATGTCCATTGAATTGGAATGACTGGCTTTGTCTCCTCTGGTTTTTTCACTTCTCCAACACTTACAATGGAAGCAAAGCCAAGCTGCTTCTCCAATGACTCTGCCAAGGAAACGGCATCAACTCCGATTCCAATCACCTCCACTACCGCTTTCTCTACGTCTATGGAAACATTGCTCACACCTTTGGCTTCTGCAGCAATCTTCAAGGCCTTGGTTCTGCAGTTCTGAGAGGTCAATTGCACCTTGATCACTATCTTTTGCTGCATACATAAAGATCATATTTACATAAGGAAAAAAGAAAAACTCTGATAAACAGAATGAAATTAAGTAAAAGGCTTACCTTCGTATTGTAGAGAGAACACGAAATGTCCTTTTCGCAAACACAAAACTTTAGGAATTTTATGAATGAAGGCATCTTTTTTTTTTATATTTATATTTTTTTTTAACTTGAACACTTTTTGTATAGACGAATTTATCTACTTGAACAATTTTTGTATGGCCGAGTTCTACTTTAACACTTAGAGGTCACTTGGAAAATAATGCCAATGCTATGCTCTATTTAAAGGAGCTTAGTCTTCTTAGAATATAGTTAAGAACCTCTGGTCCCCCCAGTCAGCTGCTTGGAAACCAAGGCTTTCACATAGGCTGAGTGTGAGTCCATCATCCCGTTCGTAGATTCCAATTTGATTCCAGACTACTTTGAATTTTCAGAAAGAAAAAATAACCAAAAAATAATATATATGGATTAAGGGAAATACAATGATCAATGTATGAGTTGTAATGTTAGTGGGTATAGTTTAGTTTGTTCAGTTCTTCCATTTCCATCAATATAAGCAGAGATTTAAAATCTTTAGACACCCGATGAATATTTGTATAAACCCCGTCCCCCAATCGCTTCTATAAAAAATAAAAAAAAGTATGAGTAGCAATAGTTTAAGTATAAACGGATTTAATGAGTACTTTGTTTTTAGCTGGAAAGCTCAATTTGTAGACTTACAAATACAAGATAAACATTGATTTGGTAAGTCATACATCTAATCTGGACCCTGGTGGTGCTTTGTATGTGCTTGGCCATCTTGAATTTCATATTAAATTTATTAGAGACAGCTCTATGTGGATGCACTGATTTGGCCATATACATAGAAAACACAAAATGCAATCGGCGTTTATGTGTGAAAACTGCATATAAAAATAACTGCCACTACCACGACTAAAACACGTCGCAGAACACTTAAAACTAAATCTCTCTCTCTCTCTCTCTCTCTCTCACAGTGCCACTGCCACGACTAAAACACATGTCGTAACCTACATAAAACACACACACACACACTCTCATAAACTACAGATGAATCAGGTTTAATAAAAGGATTACGGAAACACACACACACACACTCATAACCTACAAATGAATCAGGTTTAATAAAAGGATTACTTTCTGTAGAGTATACCAAAAGTAATAATGTCAACAACTTCAATTTAGAAACAGATCATAAGAGAGTCCATGAGTGACCAAATTCCAACCAGAAAATGAGGACAGCAACCAGAACCAATTTTACAAAAATGTTGAAGATGAAACCTGTATAAAACAAAAATGAGTTTCTATTAACAATGCATCGTGAATGTTTCTGTGCATTCTCTAAGTAACACTGCATCGTGTACCATCTTCAAGCAGGGTTCTTCAGCTGACATACTTTTCATGTTTGCCTCCAGTTCTAGTTGGAGGACCTGCAAATAGATAATTTTGATAAGAAAGGCTTATTTCTAACTGAAATTATAAACAACTATTTGAAAAAGTAAAAACACCAAGCAATCTTTAACATTTGAATAGCATTCGGAAATTTTACAGCAGATCTACCTGGAGGAGACAAATTACTTACTAATTGTATAGCTAGTTCAGGATAGGGATTCATCTATATGTAATTCAATTATCATTAAAAACATTCAAGACATAATATGTTCACATCCTAACAAAACTTATGATCACTATGTGCACAATACTTCTGAAAATTCAGAGCAACAAACTCATTTAACAATTATTGGAATAAGAAAAGAAAAAAAATATCAACAAGTTACCTTTTTTTCACAGAACAATGGCACCAAGCAAGCTTAATCTAGTGGCCAACGATTCGGGTGTTCGGGACGTAAACCTGAAAGGACCACAAAAATTCCGAAGCGCTAAGGAGCGCATGCTGTCTACAATTTCAAATTCAAACATCATGGAAAAAATCTCTTTTTCCCTCATTGCTTCATTCCCTGTGTCTGCGGACAAAATTAGGCCGACGGTTTGAGCTCCTAGATGGACCAAATAAGGTTCTATATTCCGCGCGCATAGAGGTACCGTGTTCAACTGAGGCAGTTTCAGTGGTTCAAGAGCTGTCAACGATGTCAAATCCTTTGACATCAAATAGACGATCATGGATGTATCCTTCCATTCAAGAAGACGATCAAACACATCAAACATATCCCAGTAGTCATCGCCCTTGGGGTAGTCTTTGTCGTCAGCAACTCGATGAACTTCCAACTTACATGTGAAAAGCACCCAATCCCCATCCCTAGTTTCCACCGCTAAAGTTTCGCAACCCAAAGGTATGGAAAATCCAGGATAGTCGGTGAAAATGTGTTGTTTCCATTGGTGGTTGGGGTCAGCCATATCAAATCGATAAATAGGACAACACGATGTTGAGACAAAAATGTTACTGCCTACAACTACACAAGAAGTCCCACGAGAGTGTCGAATGTATCCAAAAGTTGGGGATTCGGGCAGAGTCACCCATTTCCCCACTTTTGGGTCAAACATCTCAAACCCCCCACTAAAAGGTTCCCCAGCCCCTGTTTTTAAAGAGAGAGTAGAGAGCACATACAATCTGCAGTCATATTGCACCACAAGGGGACAACACTTCCCTCGTTGAAGAGTATTGTTGTCGAACACAGGGTCTTTCATTTGGTTGGGTTTCTTAGTATTAAAGACACGCATACCCTTGCTTGGACATGATCGGTACTTGTAGCCTTCGAATATCCCTTCATAACCTCCGGCAAAAACTATTTTGGATCCGTAAGCACCTATACCCATACCGTTGAGCGCTGCGCCAACTGAATATACCTTCATCGACCGAACACCAGAAGACGAAAAATCCAAGGATTCAATATTGCAAAAAACAGCAGCACTCCGGCCATAGGTGCCAAAACACAAATACACAGTCTTAGTCAAATCCCAATCCTTCATCATACTCCTCTGCTCCTCCGCATGCCTCATCTGTTTCACCGAACGCAGCCATTCTTCTTCTTCTTCTGCTCCTCCTTGTGTTCCGCTCTTCTGCTCCTCCTCTTCTTCTTCATGATTTGCCATAGAAATAAGCGCCTTCGAATTTGCCTCTTAGGGTTTAGGGTTCCTTTTCAAGTGTTGTTTGTTTGCTGCGTCTCCCCCCTCCTTTTCACTGATGCTTCATAAACTACACTGATGCTTCATGGACTTTCAGTTTCACAAAGTGCTTCAATAAACCCTACTTTAAACTTACTGCAAATAAAAGGAAAATTAAATTCCGTTTCAAGTGACAAAATTTTCCGAATTTAATCATAGGTGCCTGAATTCTTTTTTATCGAGCTCGGAAATAGAACAATCATCAAAATTGGCAGAGACCCAAATGAAAAACATACAAAAATTTCTGTAAAAGTCAACAAAGATGCAAAGATCAACTGCTTTTTCAACATACCCACAAAAACTTAGGTCACGAATAGTCTAATTTTACTACGCTTAAGAAATGTTGGAGAAAAAATTAAACCTTTATGATAAAAAGAGAGTACCTGGGGCGTGATGTGAGCAAATTTTGACCTCCTCTCTTCCTCTGCGTCTTCGTCTATATGTGAGAGAGAGGGCCACGAAAGAGGAAGAGAGGGATAGCTAGGGTTTTGCTTTTATTAATTTCTAAATAGTGATTTGGGTTCATTTTTTGGTCGGACTGATTGTCCATGGATTGGGCCTTGTTTGTTGTTACAGAAAGGTGAATTGTAAAAAATAAATAAAAAATAAAAAAGTTGAGGGACTATAGCATAAATTAATAATATGATGCACGACGTCGTTTGGCAAAATCGTTTTCATTTCATCTTCTACCTTGTGTAGAAACCGACCTCTCTCCCACTGCGTTAAACCGCCAAGGCCGAAAACTCGGACAATGAACACTTACGGCCCCGTGAGGGAGCCGTCACGTGCCCTATCCAACCCTCTCCTCGTCCGTACAACAGTGAGCAGTCGTCGACTTTCCCCCTGAAAAACCTAACGAAGTTGAACTTCGAGCCTAGCCGACTTCGTCGCCATCGATCGAGCGGACGTCTGCCACCTCAAGGTCAAGTTCGCGGTGCTTCATTTCTCCTGCGTGCGTGCTATTTTTCTTTCCTTTTAGTTTTTAGTTTGTCGTGTGTTTGGCTGCGGGGAAATTGGGGAAGTAAGAAAAGAACAGAAATTTAGGGATACTGCATGACTTTCTTGTTAATGGCACATTGGCTTTTGCTTCACTTACATGTACGTTTTAGTTTGCTGAGAAATTGCTGGGAGAGGAGATAATTTTGATTTGGAGTGTTTTTCTTTGGTGTTTGGTTTGGAGTGAAAAGCTCAAAAAAATTTGGGTTTCTTTTGCTTGGAATTGCCCTAGAACTCATCTATCTTTGTTCCAACTTCAATTCTATTGCTTTATCCTTCTATTCTCTGTATTTTGGGTATGTTTGGGTCGCTGGACAGCAGCTTATAGCCGCTGCCCTGCATCATATTGACCCGCGGTTCTTTCCTGCATCGTCTCTTAGCTGAAGGGTAGAGGCCTGTTTATTAAATGCGAAGCTTGCTCTAGCTTGTCTTCAAGAGATTATACATACATGTTCAACTGAAATAGTAATTTTGAATTTTAAATCTCAACCCTTCAGACATTTCCATCTCATTCAAATCAACTTTCTCTAACTAAGATCCAATTTCCAAAAACAGTAGAAACCCTTCAAAACCTTAAACATATTATATTTAAAACACAGGAGCCCTCTTACAATTCCTAAGGCAATTAGCGGTGCTTAAATACCAAATACCGAACAAGTTAATGTCTTCATCAGGCTAGTATATTTACAAATATTTAAGCATTGATGTCGAGCAATTAAATATGAAAATGGGATGGTGTTTTAGTGTATCTGGGCTTTTTGGATCACTCCACAAGTCCTGTCCAGTGTTTTTTAAGCATTTATCTATAGCTTCCCCATTAATGGCTTGGAAAACAGCTGATTCATTTATTTCATAATCAGATAAAAATTACCTGGCTTGATTGGACATTGTTTAGGTATGTAGCATTACAGAAGAAAGGGTTCGCAAATTCACATTGTTAATGGTAAATTGTTTATTTGTTCTTGGATGCTAGATTTAAAGAGTTGCTATTTACATTAATTCCTTTAAAAAGTTGTGGTTCAAATTACTAGGGGAAGGAAGTCTGGTCTGGGCTTTTGGATATTCAATTCTGCTCAGTTCAGGACCTAAGGTTGATGGGTTTGAGTTGTTATGATCAAATACACATATTTTTTGGCATTCTTGGTGGTGGAATATCTTAGCCATGCAGAGCTTGTGATTTGGAAGCTTCTGTTCCAGAGGCTGGTGATGGAGGTTTATGCTTTGTCATGTCCCATGGGTTTTGGAATTGGAAATGTAAAGCAGAAATCTTGAAGGTTCGATGGCTGATCTTAGTTGGTTTGACTTTGATATTTGCACTCTATGCTTTTTTTACTCAATTGCATCAGATGTTTCATCCTTGGAACAGTAAGGGATAGTAAGGAGACTCCACAACATTACTTATCTTAAACACCTTTATTAGCTAAGGCTCATCCAGTTCTATTTACTTCAATATATACTAATTACATGTATTGCAATATACTAAATTCTCTATATAATTATACATTACTAATTACAACAGTTTGTAAACACCAAACTACTCAGGAGCACTCCAATGAGGATCAAAGCTGAAGTATCTTTCTTTTTTGAATCTGTGCCCCCAGGTGTTAAAGTAGAATTGTCTTTCCTCATTTTGATCAGAGATTTTCCACCAACACCAGGGTGAATCAACCCGTTTGAAAGCAGAAATCTCTTCTTCCAGCACTTGTTTTTCTTGAAATTGGCAACACGCATAAACAATCACTCAGGGAACTCTGCCTGCACCAATCCTCAGTTACTGGCTGAAAATGGTCATACTCAGAATAAGGCCAATCTGTGTTCTGCATCTCTTGAAAATAAAAGGATTCTGATTCTAGTGCGGCATCGTCACAACTTTGTGAAAGAAAGTCCTGTTTGCATCCTTCAACACATCATCTGGATCAATATGGCTGTACCCATATGGACACTGGGTCCTTCATCATCATGTCTGCATAAGCTGTTGAATCTACATGCACCGCCGCCTGTATATTCCAAGAGCGAGGTGCAGATATTTGAAGGCATGTAAGACAAAGTAGACCAAAGCCATGGACCACCTTCCCACAGTTGAGCTAGTACTTTTATGGTACACATGGTATCTAAAAACTCCATCATACTCAATAAGCAGAATTAGGAGAATCCAATGGGAAATTTGTGTTTTACAGCACGAAATTCCCGTCACGTTGCAAGGTAAGCTGGAATCTCCCTCTTGAGTGAGTTGTTTCCTTATATCGCGCAAAGAGTATGGTTTCTTGATTTAGACTCTCAGTAGGAAAGATTGTGTCAGTTGGCTGATCAAAACTCTCCCACAAACTGATTGATTCAAGGTTAGCCAGCACAAAATTTCCTGTGTCAAGCATGGCTGCATGGGCAACTCCAGTACCAGAAGAATCAGCAACCCATATTCGTTTGCCTGTTGCAGCCTCATTGAGCCTAAACAGTCCATCTGCAGTGAGTTCAACTTTGGATCCTTTTGCCACTAGATGATTACCATGGCTGACCACACAATAGGTTTTTTCTGGTATTTTGTTAAACCAGATGGATAGTAAGAAGCCATGTTTACCAATTTTTTGGAAACCAAAAGCAAATTCCCCAGATTGTGATGTCCAAAATGAGCCATTGTCCTCTGCAATGAGTGATTATGAGTGATGAGCCCAATGATTTGTTCTTTTAAATTTGAGCATTGGTGGAAAATGGCAGCTGTATAATGAGAAGCACAAAGCATATGACAGTTCAAAAGACATGGCACATACAAAGGAGGAGCATATGGTGGTTAGCAAATTCAACAATGATGTGTAATAAGACCAAAATATATACACACAGTTTCAATTTCCTTTATTAAATAATCATTTCAAAAAAAAATTTATTGGTTTTAGCTTAACCGTGTAAGAATATATACTGTTGGTGTAAGGGGTTAGGCATGGAGGCCTTTTGGATTATGCCAAGTTCTTTACCAATGTTTTAGAAGCATTTTCCTATTAAAAGTTTTAATTTTTTAAATGATGATTGAATAAAATAGGTAAACTTTTGAGGCCAAGCAAATGAGGAATGGCATACTCAGTAGATTAAATGGATGGTGTTTAGACTTGGAGATTTAACCATTTGATTTGTCAAAAAGAAAAGACCTTTTCCAATGGTTTTGAAGCAGTTAACAATATATAATATCAAAAGAACATTTCAATGCACTGAGTTAACAACTAATTTTTAGTCGGTGATATTTCTCTTTACAATATTGAAAGATCCCAAAATATCAACCCCGAGTCTGCATGTCCAACGAGCATAATTAAAGATAAAATCAAGAAAAACAAATGCCAACAAAAGTAAAAGAAAAAACAAAATGCCCACCCGATTATATGGTCGGGTATGAATTCGGGTATGAACTCATATAGGGAGAGAGGGCTTCATCGAGAGGGAAGGGAATTTTCATGGAGAGGGAAACTTAGAACATTGAGCGGGGCGTGAAAAATTAGGTTGAGAAAGACAACTTTAGTTTTTGGTGAAGCTGAGAGGGACAACTTAAGTGAAACAGTATTTAGCGTGTTTTGGATGCACGTCAGTGACGTGTTTTTGAAATATGTTTTGGATTACCACCGTATTAGATGCCTTAAGACGTCGCTTTTATAACCACTGACGTGGTTTGTAGCCAATTTGAAAACCACGACGCTTTCTTCGAGTTCCGACGTCTTTTAAGTGACGTGTTTTTGCAATATTGGCGTAGTTTACATCATGACAGTGGAATTGGGTGAGCTGAAGATTATTGTGTCCTTTGAATATGTTAGCTTTTTTAGCAGAAAATTGCAAGTCAAAGTGTGTGTAAGCCAACTTGCCAACTTGCCAACTCGTAAAATAATAATAACTAAAGATGGTGCACACAACTTTTACTATTCATTTTTGATGTTAAGTTGGACAATCTAAATTGCAATTTGGGTTCTTCTTTTTCAAGTTTTGGTCTTCTTGTTCTAAATAGGCCGATCCCTTATTCATGGATCAAATGGCGGGGTTTTGAGGCGCGCAAAGTTTTCTATATGGTTCTAGCCCTTCTTGGTGTGAGTAAAGAAGAAAAGAAATGCATATCATAAATCAAAGGTTCCCTATAAACTATATAATCAACACAATTTCAATGATAATCACGTAAATATAGTACAAATGTTTGCCTTTTACTAATGGTAAAAAGGCAAAGATTTACAACTTAAGGGTTTAACAACAGCCTGAAATAACTCATACGTTCCCAGAAGCACCTAATTGAACAGTGCTTCGTTTAACATCGGCAGATTCCATCATAGTGCACAGCATACCGTGGACAATGAATATAGCTTGATGTCCATTGAATTGGTTTGTCTCCTCTGGTTTTTTCACTTCTCCAACACTTACAGTGGAAGCAAAGCCAAGCTGCTTCTCCAATGACTGTGCCAAGGAAACGGCATCAACTCCAATTCCAATCACCTCCACTACCGCTTTCTCTACGTCTATGGAAACATTGCTCACACCTTTGGCTTCTGCAGCAATCTTCAAGGCCTTGGTTCTGCAGTTCTGAGAGGTCAATTGCACCTTGATCGCTATCTTTTGCTGCATACATAAAGATCATATTTACATAAGGAAAAAAGAAAAACTCTGATAAACAGAATGAAATTAAGTAAAAGGCTTACCTTCGTATTTTAGAGAGAACACGAAATGTCCTTTTCGCAAACACAAGACTTTAGGAATTTTATGAATGAAGGCATCTTTTTATTTATTTATTTGAACACTTTTTGTATAGACGAATTGATCTACTTGAACAATTTTTGTATGGCCGAGTTCTACTTGAACACTTAGAGGTCACTTGGAAAATAATGCCAACGCTATGCTCTATTTAAAGGAGCATAGTCTTCTTAGAATATAATTAAGAACCTCTGGTCTCCCCAGTCAGCTGCTTGGAAACCAAGGCTTTCACATAGACTGAGTCCATCACACCTTTCGTAGATTCCAATTTGATTCCAGACTACTTTGAATTTTCAGAAAGAAAATAACCAAAAAAATAATATATATGGATTAAGGGAAATACAATGATTAATGTATGAGTTGTAATGTTAGTGGGTAGTTCAGTTGGTTCAGTTCTTCCATTTCCACTAATGTGGGCAGAGATTCGAAATCCCTAAACACTGGTACCCAATGAATATTTGTATAAACTCCATCCACCAACTGCCATATGATATTATCCAAATTAAAGAAGAAAATAATAATTAATTCCAAGGATGTCCTTCAGGTGGACAGTCATAATATTTACATTAAAATATTGTTACAATTTTTTTTTAAATGTTAATTCATTATACTGTCAACTTCTTCCTTTTTTTTTTCTTTTATAGACGTTGATGTACCTAGAGTACCTCCTAGGAACCATCTAAGTGAATCCATCCATCCAGGTAAAGACAATTTGAGACTTCTGTTTACTGGTACCAATAAGCCAATGTGAGTGTGTGTGTGTTTTTTTTCGGTTGAGTACAATTTATTTATTTTTATACAAGTGATAATTGGAATTGTTAACTGGAGCCACTGATTTAGTCCTTGTGTCTGGACTAGACCCAAAGTATGTGAAGACATGGTGGGGCTTATGTGTTTGTCTTAGCGCATAAGCATATGCCCTAAAACTGCTTCATATTCTATGTAAACGTATGTTGATCATGGGATTACAAATTTCCAAAAGTAAAGTTTCACCATTTAAATTAGGAAAATTTTAGAAAAATTACATTTATATACCACATTGTGAATTATATATTTATAATAAAGTTGACACTCATTGTATGAAAATAAATACAAATTACAATAGGAAATAAATCTTAATTATAATAGAACTAGATAAATAAGTAAGTAACCGAAATCCTAACATAGTACGGAACCCAAATCCTAACTAAGGACTCGCCAACAAAATATACATCTCTATTAAAGAACAAGTCGTTAAATTATGAAATTTTGTATTCGAATTAGCCTGCTTCGGTATTGGGCCGGGCCAACCCCTCTTGTTCTTGAGTCAAAGGGGTACAAAATGTTGTATATCATTCTAGCGGTTCTTGGTATGAATGAAGAAGGTATAACATGACTCAAAAGTTCAGGATCAACTCCGTTTGAATGAAGAAATTAAAAATTATATAGAATTCTAAATAATGGAATTTAGATTTCCATCATTTTAATTTCTAGCAATTGAAGATTTTAGTGTTTGGATTTATATATGTCGAATTTTGTAAATGACACTATGGAAATTGTGAAATGACTTATATTTTGGTGGAAATTAAACTCGGAAATTTAATGCCCCAATTTCCATGATTTTTCTGTGCATCATTTAATAAATTCCACTCTTAACTTACCAAACAAGAGAATTGTCAATTTCTTCTCTTAAATTTCAACTTATTTTTCCTATTAAATTTCAAGTTATTTTACCTTATTCGAACATAGAATGGACAAAACTTCAACAACAATCACGTTAACATAGCAAATGTTTGCCCTTTTGCCATACGTAGAAAGGCAAAGGTCCATTGTAGACAACTGTAGTCTGTACAAGAGTCTCCAGATTAACAGTGCTTAGTTTAATATCAGGTTTCCGTCAGAGTCATAGTACACAGGAAACATTGGACGGGGAAAATAGGTTGATGCCCATTGAATTGGCTTTATCTCCTCTTTCTTGTCCCCTTTCTTGTCCTCTTTCTTCGCTTCTCCGACGCTTACTATGGTGGCGTAGCCAAGCTTCTTCTGCAATGACTTGGCCAAGCAAACGGAATCAACTCCAACTCCAGTCACCTCCACTAGCTCTTTCTCTACTTCTATGGAAACGTTGCTCACACCTGCTTAATTAATTAGTGGTTCATCATTAACTAGCTAATTAATTAGCAATAATTACTTTGAATGATATCATTTGGGTAATCGCAAATTAATTATATATATTGGCTATTTGAAATTGATGCATGCATACGGTATATACCTTTGGCCTTTGCAGCAGTCTTCAAGGCCTTGGTTTTGTATTTCTCAGACTTTATTTGCACCTTGTAGACTATCTTTTGCTGCATATATAAATAAACATCACATATATATACAGTTAAAGCCTTTTGTTTCACTTTGCCAAACAAGAAAATAACTCTAATAAAATGAATGGAAATACTACAAAAATATATGTTTTAGGAACAAACTAAAACTAATTGAAAAGCTAATTAAGCTTACCTTGGTGGTGGGGAGTGTACATGAAACGTCCTCTTTCCAAAAAGAAATCCAGTGTATGAATCTTTCTATGTATGAACGCATCTTTTCTCTACTCTGAATTTTTTTTAATATTTCTTTCTGTGGAATTCTGCTTCAACATTTGGAGATTGCTTCTTTTTATAGAAGCTTAGTCTTCCAAGGATGTTACCTCGTGTTGACCTGTCTCTCTTCATCCGTATACATATGGGGTCAGCTGCTTGGAAACCAAGATTTTCCACAGACTCAGCCAAGACACCTACCTAAATATTCAAATTTGATTTCCTGGAATACTTTGATTTTTCACAAAGGAAAAAAGAAGAAGGAAGAGAATGCATATTCAAAAATAGAATAACTAGGGAGCTTGTAAGTGATTGAGCGTCTCGCATTTCATGCATGCAATGGAAGCTTAATTGGCCACAGATTCATGTGTGACAGTTTCTACCCAACTACTATTTATAGAACCACAATCATTGAATTTTTAAAATTAATTCCAGGGCATCCGCGTAAACGGTCAAAGCCAAACGTTTCCTTCAGAAGGACGATTAAGATTGCAATAAAATATTGAAAAGTCTTGTGGCATTGCGGCTGACGCATGTATACAGTGAGTCCTTCGAATCATCTATGTGAGTCAATCCAGCTAAAGACAATTGGGTACCCTCAGTGTCTATGCGGAACCAGGAACTGAGGTTAGAGGGGGTTTATTTTGCAAAATATAAAAATAAAGGGAATGAGCGCATAAACACTTCAGGTTCTCGTAAAGCTTCTTGAAAATCATTACAGCTTTCACACATCAAGTTATGATTGTTGTGTATATAAAACCCTTCTATCCTTTTTCAATATTCAATTCAATTCATACACACAACATTAAATTATTTACACACTTAGAGAGAAAAAGAAAAGGAGAGTGAAATGGCTTGGAAGAGAGAGAGAGAGAGAGAGAGAGAGAGAGAGAGAGAGAGATGAGTAAGGGCGTAGGACCCCTTTGGGCCCTAAGTGGCTTCGCCACTAGGTACCATATAAGCAATAGCAACACCAAATGAGGAAACTGATAAAACAATGGTGGCTGCATAGTCTCTATTATTAGTAGAGACAAATAATTGTCTCAAAAATCAACTCAGGGGACAAATCAAAATCAGTAGCTAGTGTGAGTTTTTTTTAGTAGTGTTCGTACAATCGACCAACTTTACATGTGATATTAATCTCAACTAACGGAAGAAAATTGATTTTTTAACTATGGGAAATTTCTTCACATCCTCACACGATTAGGGGAAATTTCTTCACATCCTCACACGATTAGGGGAAATTTCTTCATATCCTCACGTGAGACCAGGGGCGGAGGGAGCTAGGGCCTAGGGGGTCCTATGCCCAATGTTCTTGAGACCTTGGGTTTCTTAACACAATTACACATCTTTTATCTCACTTCGAAGTGCCTTGTATGTTGGTCTTCTCTCCCTTTTCCACTATTATTACTACCCATACTCTCTTTTTGTCTTATTTTAACTTTGATTGTAGTAATAAATTACCATTTGAATTTTGTTAGTGTATGTGTATATTTAACTAAGTACATGCAATATCTTTTGCTAGTATCAATGATGAGTAGATAGTTAATGTGATATGTAATAGAGTATAGTAATTAAGTTTATGAATTTGTATCATGTAAAAAATTAATTAAAATGCCACCGTAAAGAAAAATAAATTTCAATATATGAGGTGCCCCCTCTATAAAAAATTTCTAGCTCTGCCACTGCGTGTGATGATACCATGAAAGAAATTGAGATTTTGTCCAAAACTAATTGGCTATGGCTATGTGAGAGTAGCCTATAAGTCCTATATAAAAGCATGTAAAATTTCTTAACTTTCCAATATGAGATGTGCGTTAGTGGTTCTTCAACTCACACTTCATCTGCTCCTTATCTGCTATTTAAGCAAATGCATAACCACAGCTACTCCTTAATTTGGGGTTTAAAAAGCTTCGCAATCCCTCTGATCATTGCCGTGCATTGAGACAGGCTCATGTGGTCTAGTATTAGTTCTATTATTCTTTGCCAGCAAAGTTTATTTCCAATAACAGAACCTACCAGTCATATTTCTTCTTTGAAAACTAAACTCAAGAGAAAATGCATAAACTCCGCTAACTAAGTCTGAGTGGACTTGTACAATGGGTTGAGGACTTGGAATCTGGACAGAAGTGTGCATGTGGAAGCAATCAAACGACAAGTCTTTTGCAACAAAACACAATATATGTCCTAGACTTCACACGTGGAAGGCCTATCAGTGGACTGGTTGGCATTATTGTTTTTATTGTATCTGAATAGTAGTACTTGTCGACAAGTCGACGACGTATATGGTGCAGATTAGTTGATCGACTTTTCGTTGAAGATAATTTCCCTTCATAGTATGCATAGGGAGAATGATGTAACACAAATTGCAGGGAAATTTCAAAAGACTATGACAGTTATATGTTGCGACAAGACAAGACATCATGTAGCAACGAAACATTCCATCCCAAAGCTAACGCAAAGAAATAGATAAATAAGGCAAGATGAGATAGATAAAGTGAGGATCCCATCCCATGGGAAAACATTTGTTTAGAAAATCTAATTTGAACGTACATATTACATGCGTGACTATGTCACATGAGATATTTAATATTTGTATATTAAAATAAGGCAAGATGAGAAGTGAAGAATGATATTGATTCTTTCTTGACTACCAACCCACCTCCACAATGTCACAAGATATATATTGTCCACATTTCCATTGATAATGACCCAATCCCCTTTGTCTCATATTGATGATTGATTTGCAATATACTACTTGCCATATGATTATAGGTTTTTCTAAGATATACAAATTCGATCTGAAAGCGAGGTATCTAACAAAGTTGCCTCTCTAATAGGGGTTTTCTAACAAAATTACCTCTGGTATGGGGTACCAAGCTGAAAACTAAAATCCTCTCCACCATAGGTTTCTCTAGAATAGTTTTCAACGTACGTAATTAGAAAATCGTTTGAAACATATACGAGAAAAATCGTCCTCATATGTCTGCTAAATCACTTATAACTTAATTATTTAAGTGGTTCATACATGTTTATGAAAGTAATTAATTCTCGTCATGGTGATTATATCTTTTAGATAATTTACATTGGAACAGTGAAGTCAAAGTCTTTTAGTAATCTATAACAACTCGTAAAAAGCAAATTTCATAATGTGAAATCCTTTCTTTGGATGAGAAAGCATACCTAATATCCATGACTACAAGTTTGTTATTCCAACCTGCACTAGCTGTCAAAGTCAAAGTCTTTCTTGGCGTGACTTGTGAGTTTTCTTACACACAAAGGATTCCCATATTAGTTGTAATTGATTTTCTTTTATTTTTGATTTTCTACCGTGAATAAAATTAGTAGTTATTACTTTCCTTGGCCTACAAAGCTTTCTTGTATTATAAATATGACCTTATACAACGAGAAGAATACACATAAAATTCCCACAGATAATATCCTCTCATATTTTAGCAGTTTTTACATATAAATATATATATGTTAGATATGATGCCTACGTCACATGGATATTAAATATTTGCACATGAAAATGAGGAAATATATGTAGCAATCCATGGCATCACTTATAGCTTATTTAAGCCTGAAGTGAAAACTTTATACTCAAAATTAAAAGTTCGGGTAATGAAATTGGTGTCATCACTAAAAAAATATGTTCTTGCAGTGAAATTATACCCTCTTTGGTTATTCATAAAGTTGGGTGGGTCAGAACTTTTTACGGAATGCAACACCTCCATTCAGCATCAGCAAAAATGTAAAGTCAAATTTGCTCGATTGAATCTCACACCATATATATATGAAATGGCAAACTAGCAGAGGTGGATGTGCCCATTTTGTACATATATAGTCAACTTTTCAATCATGAATGAAAATACTGAAATTAAATTGATATAATCATGAAATTAAATAAAACTTTCTAGGACAATTACATGATAGAGCAAGTTGGCTCTGGATATTCACGAACCACTTCACGGTACATTGGAGGACACTGCGGAGCACAATACTGAACATAGCTTGCAGTTGGCTTTTCCTCTTTTTTATCTCCTTTCACTTGTTCAACTTTTACTATGGCCGCGAAGCCAAGCTTCTTCCTTAGCAACTCCGTCAGGCAAACCGAGTCCACACCATCTCCGATCACCTCCACATGATCCCTGTTTGCTCCTTCTATCGACACTTTGCTCACACCTGCTTATGTTATCAACTCCAATTAATATATCTGAAAAAGTTGAAAGAAATTTTGATGGATCATGGATATATATACCGTATGCAGATGCTGCAATCTTCAAGGCCTTGGTTCTGCATTTGTCACAGTGCATTTGCACCTTCACTAATATCTTTTGCTGCAAAACAACAAACACATAAATATATGTATACATGAAAAAAGAAAATGAAGGCAACGTACTTGCATAAAATGTACCTTCATGTTGGAGGGTATATATGTATGACCAAAACAAAATGGAAGAGCTCTGAATTTTTGGGATGGAAAACTCTATGAATCTATGAAAGTAGAACTCTTGCTGTGATCTGTACTTATATTTATACTATTGTAAGTTCATATACATATGGAAACAATAATTATTTTAGTTTTCTTTTTATAAAGTCAGATCAAGCACCGCGGTTTCGCAGAATTAGTCATGCCAATGGACCAATGGTATTCTTTATTTTAATTTTTTTTTAATTATAAAAGAATGTACATCTCATTCTCGTTTTTACTTTTTTATTTATTAATGAGATAAGGGGGAGAAAACCCCAAAAAAGAAACGACAACTAACTAATACAGATCAAGTGAGGCCTAACAACGCCTTAAGAAATCATCCACCAAGAAAGAGTTAACCCGGATAGGAGCCTCATCCAAATAACAAACCCCCATATCCAAGTTCATGATCCAGTTAGCCATACAATCAGCTACAAAATTCCTTTCTCTGTAAACATGAGCAAGGTAACCGTTGCTGCCTCATAAGAACACAATAGCTATGAACCAACGGAGCAAGAGGGTGACAAGTCAACGTAGAATACTTAATTTTCTCTATATATTATTATAAATGTTTTACGACAAGCCAGAATACTTTGATTGCGTATCACTGTAGCTTTAATTTTCCCTGGTTGTGGCATTTGAATTCATACGGAACTAATATATTATTAAGAGATATTTATCAGTTCCTAATTACTAGTGGGTTTGACAACTTTTCATTAATTTATTTTTAATGGCATTCTTATCCGGTGATTAAGTATTCTCAACACCCAGATAATGAGTCAATATCGCCAGCAAGTAGCAAATGAATTTCAAGGATCAAAACCTTT